TGCGGGTTTGGGGTTTTAAGGTCTATGGTTTAGGGGCTAGGATGACTTTCATCCCTAGTTGCTGAGCTCCAGGCCCAAATGAGCAACATCTGATATTTTCAGGTGACATGTAACTTTACTACTCTACTCAGCTACAAAGTTTAAGGTGTAGCAGGTACGCAAACAGAGGGGTGTTTCGGCCCAGATACTATATTTATACTCTAGATAATTGCTGACACCGGAACCCGGCTCTCCCCCTAACCCTCGATTTGGGCCCAGGGACCCTTGGGAAAGTGGGAGCCAGCAAAGCATCACCCTTTTCTTGCACGGACCGCCGCTGAGTCCCTAAGGAACCGGACCACTCTAAGCGCAGGGCACGACTAAAACCCTAGCATTTTCGAGTTTTGGATTTGAGCTTCTGGCGTCTTTTTCTCTCGTGCTTTTGGGTTCAAGGCTCTGACTTTAGATGGGCACGGTTTAGGGTTTAGGGTGGGGAAATTGGTCTTAAAGGCTCTGGCTTTACATCTTGGGCTTTTGCACCCTCGCGTGCGCAGGTGGACCCGCAGGACACAACCCCGCTTCGCCTCCGCTGCGACCCCTCTGGCGCTAGTAGCAAGCTCGGGGGCACTTCTGCTCTGATATAGGATTGCCTCATCTCCGTTCCACTCAGAAGGTGAACACAAGTATGCTTTCCCGGAAACCTTTCTAGAATCAGTGTTGGGTGAAAAGGGGAGCCTACTTACGTTGGGATAAGCTTTCAGGTCACTACACGAAAGTAAAGCTTGCTTTACATGGTAAAGGCAACCTCGCGAGAAACCCAGCATTTCGAACAGCTGCGCATGTTAAAGCCTGCACTGTTGTTGAAACTTGGGGCTTTGAATGCCGTCATTTGGCCATGCTTCGCCAACCTTCAGCATGCATATAATATGGGTGGTTGTCAAAATTACGGTCCCTTTTTGGGTACCCTAAATAATAGGTGCCGTATTATACTAAGGACCGAAAGGATGGAGACACGCAGACATGGAGTCCATGTACCGCGTTTAGGATTTAGGGGTTTAGGTTAGAAGGGGCCCCCACCCTGTGATAGTGGTATAATAGGAATATAGTGGGGCCCTAATATAATCCTTATAGTCACTGTTACAGAGTGGGGGCAGCTTCTAAGGTTTAGGGTTTAGGGTGTACCATAGAAGAGTAAGAGTTCTCGGAAGGACAGCGATCCAAGGCAGAGCTTCCTAGTATTGAGGCCTTAATAATTAGAATAGGGTTCCTTTGAGAGCTCTTTTTAAAAGGGGGCTACTACAAGAGCTTGATATAATGAGGGCCTCTGCCTGAATACTTAGAATCGGGTCTTCGAGTGGGTTCTACTACCGTTATGAGCCCTGAAGAATAACTTACTTTAGTTATTCAAGCCTCTTCTCCTATACTACGTAACAAGAGCCTCTTGATCTCCTCAGCCGAGCCTCTACACCATAGCACCCGCTGATTTTCAATACCTATGCCATGTGCACATGACCGCATGAAGGCAAACCCCCTGAGCTCACTCCTTTCGCCCAAAATAACCCAAACAATTGATGCTAGGGGTCCAAATGCCCGAACAAAGGCTGCAGATTGAGCCCCAAAGGGCACCTTGCTGCACTCTGTCCGGGCTCAATGGACCCTTAGCGCAATGCAAGCTACAGTCATGCTCGCTACCGGACATTGCCGAAACATGCCTAATTAATGTAGGGGCCTGAATAAGGTTTTGGGGTATATAATCTACCATAGTATAAGGAGCCCCCAAAAAATACTGCAGCCATGTAAGATTGGAAACTAATTAGGTTCCCGTATTACAACTAGATACCGTACTAAACACTGCGACCCCCACCCAATGAGGCAGGTCTGGCGCTCAGGGTTCTAGGTGTAGAGTAGGGTTCCTGAGCCTCGACAGCAGTGGGCTTCACCTGCAGCCTCAAACTCGACACTCCAGAGGCTCATTGCGGCTCCATACTTTTAAGGATGGGTCAGGTTCAGGGTGTACAGCCCTTGAAATGGAGTCGGCTGTTGGATCCCCGGATAGACTTTTAGATTCATGAAAGCCTGATTCGCGACAGCATGGACTGTATAAGCTCGTATACGGCACATCACCAAGAGCGAGGCTATCAAGAACCGGTGGTCCAGAGAAGAAGGTTAAGAGTTCATGCTGTAGGGCTTAGGGTTCACATTTGAGGGTTTACGGTTCAGATCTAAGGTTAAGAGGGGAGTTTGTGGCTGAGGGACGACCAATATGTAAGCGTATGTTTGGTGAGCCAAGCAAGTCGAACGAATTACCAAAACGATGCGTCAGGGCTCTTCATCATAATTATGCTGTAAGATGCACCGAAACCGAAACTCAAACGCCGTGTCCGCCGAAGCTACACCCGACTTCCATCCTGCAGTGAGCCCCAGAAAGCAGGTCACAGGCTTTAGGGGTTTAGGAATGTAGGGTTTGGGGTTTAGGGTTGAGGGTTTAGGGATTTGGGTTTCGGTTTTTAGGGCTTAGGATGGTTGGTGCTAGGATTCTTTATACTTTGACACTAGTTTGAGCATCAGTATGCAACTGTGCGGCTCCTACCCTAAACCATACCTAGAGCATCGAGGGCTTATAAGGTTTAGGGTTTAATGTCCCATTCAGGGATTCAAGGTACGAAGCAGGGCCTGAGATTTGGGGCTTTGGCTCAGCATGTGGGGGGGGGGGGGGGGGGGGGTTCCTGCGCTAAAGGCTCAGGGTTGTTTAGCAAACAATCACGTAGCATGTGTTCAAGGATCGTTTCCTCTTGAATACTGTAGATAGCTCTAAAGGTGCATGTAGCCATATAATATATACATGGAGCCTTAGAGTAGTCCCTATGTAGGTACTTCAGGGCCAAATATACTCTATGGGTACCTGGACCCTTAGTACTTAGGGCATGTCTGACTTAGCATTTCGCCGCGACGAACTGATCCAGGCACTAACAGAGGCTTTCGTGCAGAGTTCCGGTCTCTGGATCCAACAGTCTGCTTTGGGGCCCAAAAAGTCCCAAACCCTGAACATTCGCGGAGAGCCCTGGAAACGTTAACCTGAAAGCTCTTATAGAACCCTTCCGAAATCTTTCTAAGAACCTTCATAGCTTTTGGAGTGAACTTCAGAGGTTCAGAGCTTCAGTTAGCTTCAGATTTCGCAAGCTGCTGGCCATGATAGGGTTCCCAATGGGTCCATCTACTTACCTAAACCGCAATGCAGAAACTAATTTGTACTATATGGGGACTTCCGAAAATATGCTCTAGTACCCTAAATAGTAGGATCCTTATTATAAGGACCCCAAACTAAGGTACCCCACATTTTCGGAAACTCCAAATCCTAATAGCACCCTTATAGATCCCTTTAAAGGCACCCTTATAGATCCCTTTAAAGGAACCCTAAACCCCTCATTTTCGGAAACTTCGATTTCAGCTTAGGACCCCTTTCGGGTTTGAGGGCCCTCTGACTCCTTTAGCCTTCATTCAAGCCTAAACCATGGTTTGAGCTCTGCAACGGCTGTAAGTTTTAGGGTTCCCTTAAAGGGATCCTTAAAGGGATCTATAAGGATAGTAGGGTTCTTCCTTTAAATGGAACTGAAAAGGATCTATAGCGATAGAAGGGTTCTTCCCTTTCAGGGATCCTTAAAGTGATTTATTAGGATAGTAGGGGTCTTCTTTTAAAGGGATCCTGAAAGGTATCTATAAGGGTTCTAAAGTGTGGGCTTTTAGGGATTGAAAGTTATATAGGGCTAGGGGGACCCTTGGGGATATAGATCCTCTCAATGAGCCAGAAGTAGGGTCCAGAAGGGTCCCCTTGAGGGGTCTCCCTGATACTGCCTATAGGATATAGAAGATGCTAGTTTAGCGTTTAGGGGGTATACTGCGGCTCTACTTAAAAATGATCGATTCTGAGCTTGTGGGCTTGTACCCACAGCGTTCTTTCTTCTCTCGACAAGCCGCTCTTGGCAATTCACCGTTACTTGAAAGATCAGGAGACCTAGTAAGTGCATGGCAAGCCGTCAGCTCACGGCATAAAAGGGAATCTTATAAGGATGTATTGGAAGGTGTCGGGTTTCTGCTGTCTGGAGATTAGGATTAAGAATGGCCCACAGATTGAAACTTTATGTATTGGTTTCGGGGAGATAAAGCTGTTGAGGAGGGGACACAAACTTACTAGGTCCCCTGATCCTTCAAGTAGGCTTCGCTAGCCCTATTTCTGCGAGGTGGTCGCGCGACCAACGGGCCAAGAGTGCAAAGGGGCAGATATACCACATGCCTGATTACATGGTGCCCTAAACCCTACACCCCAAGACCCTAAACCCTTTAGTGCGTTAAAACCCCATGACCTGCTGATTTCCATTTAAGGGAACCTTGTCAGGCTGGACATCCCCACCCAACAGCCATTGCTGGGTGGCTTTTTCGTTCTAGTATAGGCGCCAAAAGGTTGAAGGTCCCTTTCAAAGGCAGACTTTATATACGCCGAAAGGTTGAAGATTGCCTCTCAACCCCTAAGATAGTCATACTCTACTCGTTGAGGGTATACCTAAACCCTGAATAACCTCCCTTCGTAGAGTTCCTTATTATGATTTCCTTATACAAGTCCCTAAAAAGGTATCTTCTTCAGGGTTAAGGTAAGGCTGTCAGGTCTTCGGAGTAAACGATGTGCTCTAAGCCTCTGATCCTCCACTGAGGAAACTGCATAACTACATGACATGAGTTTACGTGTTGAGGCCACCGACACCAACCACAAGCTGCCAGCCGAAGGCTCTGCCGCGGAGTGCGGAATGAGTCAAGGTCGGCCCGTCGGGATTTGGTTTGGGTTCCGACTCCGACAGCCGAAGTGTTTAATATAGGGGCCTTAATAATTAAATTTGAGCCAATTATACTGTAAACATAATAAGGAACCCCCACAATAATGTAGGTAATTATTGAGGCCCCCATAGTAAGGCAGTGGAACCTAACCCTTTGCAGCTCTTGGCAAAAAGGATTGGCAGCAGGCTCCGCGATCAGGAAGCTTCACCTGGTACTAGTAGTAGTAGAAGAAATGCAGAACCCTAAACCCTAAACCCTAAATTACCTTAAACCCTAAACCCTATCCTAGTACTAATAGGCGGCCATTTTGCTGCAGTGGGTCAAGTGCGAGGCGATTGAAGACTTCAGATGGGGGGAGGGGTGCTGCCCTGCAACACCCACTTACATACAATATGCATATATATATATACACATGTGAACGGATATATCGATTATACATACGTGTATATGTACAACTTTATACATGTGCACAAGCATGCATGCATGCACATATGCACAAAGAGGGCAACACATATGCTCTGATGCATACAACCAAGGGGTCCGTGTGACCACTTGGTTTCTATTTTATGCGGTTCATAAAAATGTGCTTAGGGCAAAAGCATATACAACGTTGGTACATGGACCGTTACGGACACACGCTCCTGCACACTGTTGCTGATCGCTGTGGTTTACACGAACTCCCAAAGCGCGAACTTATGGAGCCTTTGGGTTTTATATAGGGGCCTTAATAAATACCTATACTATTTTTATTTTTGGGACTCCTTATTATGAATATAGTATAATGGGGCCCAAAACCCTAGTCTAATTATTAAGGCCCTTATATTATGAGTCTTATGAGCCCGCCAAGGTGCTCGGGCTGTGAAAGAAGTCCATAACCGCCATGGCAGTCCTGATCGCTGTTGTGTTAAGGGCTTAGGGCTTAGGGTTTAGGGTTTAGGGCTTTGGGCATCTAGGGTTGATGGTTCACGGTTTGGACCCTGCAATCAAGTTCCTTGAAAGGTCGAGGGCGTGGCATTTGAGTGCCCGGTCCAGGGATAAGTTACGCTTAGGGTTTACAGTAGAGTTTACCAGATCCTGAATTGCAGCTCAGGGTGGATGTAGGGTGTATGGGGTATGGTAAAGCCTGGAGCCTGAACCTTATGAGAAGCCCCAAAGAAACCCTACAACCCTAAACCCCAAAAGCCCCAAAGCTCTAGAACCGGTTCCAGTGAGGACGGTCCCGGCCACACCAGCAACGACACCCAAGCCAACGGCAGCCCAGCAGAGGCCAAGCTTCACCTGACTATTCTTATTTCCAGGTGTGTTTAGGGTTTTCAAGGTGTCCCTAGCGGCTCATGAACATAAATAATGTGCACATTCACCTGGTTTGCCTACATGGGAAAGCCTGCTGAGGCCAAAGTGTCCACTCGATGGGCACATAAACCCTTACAGTTTGGGGGAGTGTTGTGGAATTTTGGTGAAACCTTTGGACATGAGGATCTAGGGCTCTTATAAGGGTCCGCCTAGAGCGCGCTACAAGCCGGTCTTAAGTTTAGAGTTTCGAGTTTCGGTTCCGAGAAGCTCTCTCAGGGACATCAGGCACATGCTGGAACGAGGCCCTAAAGCTTGTGGTTCTGGTCAGATGGTTTAAAACTGACGATGAAGGAAACGCTTAGAGTCTAGAGAGCCCGCCCAACACCCCAGAACAAGAAACATAAACCTTGATTCACAAGAAACAAGAAAGCCTGTCTATCAAGCCGTACTTCTGAGATAAGGAGGCATTCACTGTCAGAAGCCTCTTGACCAGGTATGAAGTTTAGGCTTGAGGGTATAGGATTTGCGTCGGTGGTTGTCAAAATTAGGGCCCCTTTTGGGTACCCTAAATATTAAGTGCCGTATTATCTTAAGGATCCAAAAAGGGACCCTAATTTTGACAACCACCCACATAGTACGACAGTTTAACGACACACAAACAGGCCTGAACCAGTTGCCTAAAGGCTCTGGCCCTGACCCTGAGCTGTTGAGTCTTGAGCCTTACGGCTTACCCTAAGGCTCCAGAACGGGTCACGGGCTTTCTGGGGGAGGGCTTGGACTTTGGGGGCTAAGGTTTGGGATCTCACTACGATGGTTCAGGAGCCCCCCGGGCTTACCCTAAGGCCCCAAAGTAGTTCCCTTTTTGGGGCTCATATTTAGAATCCTATAATGTAATCCCAAAGAGGAACTACTTTGGGGCCTATGGGTCGGGTCTAGGGTGAAAACGCAGCCTTTGCTCCTCCCCCCACCAGAAAGGGCAATACTAAGCTTACTAAACTTTCGTCCAAGCAATGAAATATTTGAACGTTGAAAGCTGTGAATCCGAAGCTCACCGGACTCAAAAAAACCCGAAGATACCCGTTTGACATTGGAAGACTGCCTTGAACGCAGCTGTCCGAGTGGATGGAACGAGCTTTTCCAGCTGCAGGTAGATGACAACCCTCGGGTTCAGAGTGCAGGTTCCGAGTTCTGGGATTAGGTCGGGAGACGAAACAGAACAGCTTACCTACACAAACTAAGAACCCCCAAGAAAGGGCCAGAGAAGAGGTCTGAGGCCTAGGGCCATGGTGTTTTGCTTTTGGAGGCTTGATGGGGCATGCGTGACCTGTACAACGCAACCCGATCGGGAAGAGAGAAGTCCATAGTCTTTCGTAGAAAGCCCACCCAGTCTGCTGGAAATGTGCCTGCCTGTGACGTTTAAAGCAGTAGGCTCTAGCCCACATTCGGCTCCTTCTGGGAATTAGAAGACGGTTAGCACAAAACTCATGCATTCTGTATGTCTTGTTTCACAAAGGAAAGATCACACGGCCGTCCACGGACCCATATGCTAGGGTGACACAACGAAAAGAACAGCGTGTTTCTACTTATATTCAAGAAGATATCAAAATCAAAGCAGCGACTGGCCGCATGCTTCTCACAATCAAACTAAGGTATACATGTGAACGAAACCTGGAATCGCAAGCGGTCTGGCTCACATTCAATCACAATTACAGTCGCATCTTCAACGTGAAGTGAGTGTGTGAAATTTGATGAAGAAAAACGGATGACTGAATGCGTCGCAAGTTTTACTTCAGATTTAGGTTTAGTCCCCACACACACACACACACCCACACCCAAAGTACGCACGAAAGCTGGACACTTGGTTTCTTGAGCCGCTGTCATTTCGTAATTTACGCTTGGTCTCCAGGTCTCCAAAAAGGTAGTTTTTCCGAACAGAAGAACCACAAAGAGTCCTGCGTTCATTCTCCTTGTTCCTTTCAACCTCTTCTAAGTTCTTCTCAGTACCGAAGTAATGAACTTGACCTTGGTGTCAAGAGAGTAGATAAGGTCTCTTGAACTCTTGGTTGTGTGTTTGTCCATTTCGTTTGTGCCTCTTGTTTAATTTGTGTTTACATTCTAAAACACGTACAGAATGGAATGAACACAACAAGGAACCAGAAAAAAAGTAAATTCACAATAGCACCTACAATCAAGTCCCGTTGCATTCGCTCACTGAAGGCTCAATATAAGTAATCTTCAAAAGCGACAGCAGAGAGCTGCGCGTTCCTTACAACACCGCCCCCTCAGCCCTAAAGCTTGGGGGGAGGTCCAGCATGAGACGGGGTTCAGTTTCGGGTTCCTTTTGAGGGTTTCTGTTTAAGGGTTCCTGTTAAAGAGTTCCTCCTATTTCCTCCTAAAAGGGTCAGGGTCGCGGATCCTCACATTCAGGGTGAAACTTGGGTAGCACGTAGGGTTTAACATTGAGGGTGAGGCATGCTACAACCTAGTTAGGGCTTATCTGTAGCCCCAAACCCTATAGACTAGTAGGTGATGGCCCCTTAATGATGGGGTACAACCCTCACGACAGTAGGTTATACGGTTGATGATATAAATTCTGCATGACCCACAATAAGGAGTATACCATGATTCCCATAGTTTAGGGCCCTTAAGGTAATGCAGAATTTATATCATCAGTAGTTGGGGAACCCTATAGATCCCTTTAAGGAGCCCTTTAAGAACCCTTACTAAGTCCCATGATCCTCTAAGTAGACCCTAAACCTCTAAGTACATACAGGATCCCCGGGTCGGCTTTAGGGTTTAGGGATGTGCAGCCCGAGTGGCGGCAGGATGACCGAAGTCAAGTTCACCTCAGAGTTCTGGGTTTGACAAAAGCCCCAGTAAGATTTGACGTAGGGCTTTGGCTGATGGTGTATAAGAGTAAATATGTCGTTACTAACTAGGAAGTACTACAGTAGAAGCCTAAAAGTTGGAAACCCCATAGCCTCGATCCTTAAGAGTAATGTATAGGGAATCCTAGCACTATTTGGCCTTGATCCGGTTTCCAACGTTATGGGGTTTACTGTATCAAAAACTACAGAGGCTTCTAAAATAGAGCCTGGGGTTTTGATTGAAAACAGGAACCCGAAGGAACAATAACTTCTGACAGCTGTTCATGCTTCCATACTAGAGTCTGGGGTTTAGAGTTTCGGGCTCAGGGCCTAGGAATAAAAAGGGCGCCCTTTTTGGTTTAAAGGGGCTTATAAGAAAACCTGAACCCTAAAGAAAGGGAATATGGATAATGGCCTAGTCTGGGTCCTAGCCATCTCATTGCCTTATTTGCTTGCAGCCCCCGGAACCCTAAAGCAAGGGAATAAGGGCCAACTCTAGGTCCTAGATGCTTTACATAGGGGTTAGGTTTAGGGGTCAGCTCTGGGGATGCCTGAGGCTTGGCTACGGGTTGAGGGTTTAGTGGATTTGTGTTTAGGGTTTTGGTTGTTTTTGTTTTTACGGGCTTCGGGTTTAGGGTGTAGGGAGCATGCATCGCATGAAAGGGCGCCTCGTCATGCCTTGGCCTATTAACAATGCGCACAGAGGAGTTTCAGACACGACGAGATCCCGAAACAAACAGAACGCCAATGGTGGGATCCTTATTCCAAGTCCACATACCTAAGCCAAAAACAAAGTAGGGTCCCCCAAAAAGGGGATAAGGGTCCGAACTTGAAGCCCCACACCCCCAAAACCCCTAAAACTAGATACCTCAACCCTAAACCCTACAACCCCAAAACCCCTAAACCCACCTCGACCCTAAACCCTACACCCTAAACCTTAAATCCCTAGACCCTCCACCCTAAACCCTAAATCCCTAAACCCTAAACCCCTAAACCCTACACCCTACACCCTAAACCCTAAATCCCTAAATCCCTACACCCTAAACCCTAAATCCCTAAACCCTAAACCCCTAAACCCTACACCCTACACCCTAAACCCTAAACCCCTAAACCCTACACCCTAAACCCTAAATCCCTACACCCTAAACCCTAAATCCCTACACCCTACACCCTAAACCCTAAACCCCTAAACCCTACACCCTAAACCCTAAATCCCTAAACCCTAAACCCTAAACCCTAAATCCCTAAACCCCGTGGGACCCCAGCCAGGAAGGCTCCACAGAGCGAAGCCAGGGCCGCCAGATGCCCAGCGAGGATGCATGCCTTGGGGCTTAAGAAGAGGAGGTCGGGGTTTAGGGTTTAGGGTTTAGGGCTTAGGGTTTAGGGTTTAGGGTTTAGGGTTTAGGGTTTAGGGTTTAGGGTTTAGGGTTTAGGGTTTAGGGTTCAAGAACAAGAGTATACCACGCTTTAGGGTTTATAGGTGTTAAATTGAGGGTTTGGGGTTTAAGAATAGGAGTCGGGGTTTAGGGTTAACCCTAAGGCTCCGAAAGGGGTCACGGGCTTTCTGGGGGGAGGGTTTGGCTGGGGTGTTTAGCGTTAGTGAGAGCTTTATATAGGGTGTCCCGAGCTGGGTGTAAGATAAGAACAAAAGTACGATTTGAGGGTGTAGGTGTTCGCGGTTGAGGCTTGAGTGCTAAGGTGTTAGGGTTCGAGGGTTTAGGAGGGGACACCGAGGCTCAAATCCACCCGAAACCCGAAACCTTGAACCCTAAACCCCTAAACTATAAACTCTTAAACCCTAAACTCGAATCCCCAGGCCCTGACCCAATGCACCGTGTGGGCAGCCGGCCGAGAACCCGGTGGCGAGGACAATCATCGCGGCTGGACCGAAGTCCAAAAGCGAGAGCCTTGGGTCAGAGGGAAGTGTGGATCTGTGGTTTAGGGACTACAGCGTTAAGCGGTTCATTGCATTTGGGGCCGTGCTTGCTTCTGCAAAGAGGCTTTAGGCTGGCAGCCCTTCTTTCCAAGATTGGGGCAGGGTCTGGGTATGTAACATAGTTGCGCAGTGACGATTGCTATACAAATTCCTCCGGCCACTGTACATTTAAATGATGTTCAAAGTTCAGATCAAGGTTTCTTGGTTCTACTGCAGTGTCCCCTGGAGTTTTTTTGAGGTGTGGCCCATGGTCTGGCATTCAATTCCCTCAACCTATCACCCTAAACTCCGTATACTTGGAACATATTGGAATTCTATACCAGGTCTCTAGGGGTATTCGGGGGTTCGTCGGACCTGTGCAGTGTCGTTGCTGACTGTTCGGCTTGAGAGCTGAGAACAACGAGGTGAAGCACTTAGGCCCAAGCTTTGGGGCTCATGTCGTTTGGGTTGAGGAATCTAGCTTTATAGTCTTTAGAGGTTTACCATTTAAAGGCTTGGGGTTTACTTCGTGTGAGGGGTTACTTTCGTTGTATCCAGTGTCCTACATGTGTCGGGCTGGGTGTTTCTCCACGCTTTCTCCTCTACCGTTCCTCTCTCTCTCTCTCCTTCTGCCCTTTGCGCCTTTCCTTGCCTCTCTCCATATCTCTCTCTCTCTCTCTCTCTCTCTCTCTCTCACGCGCATCCTCAAGGACAGACGGAAGGAGGGAGAGAGAGAGAGAGAGATTGATAGAGAGAGACAGTGCTGAGGCTCGGGCTCGCCGCCTGCCGATGGACTTCGGTGTAAAGGCTAGCAAGTTAGCAACTAAGGAAGTACGTTCTTGGAGATGCTGTCGCAAAAAAAACGCCCACATCCGACTCGGAGACAGGATGCAGAGAAGGCTTAAGAATCGGGTCGGGTCACAATTGGGCTTTTGGGTTCCGGGTTTAGGATTACGGCTCTGGGTTCGGGACTGCAAGCGCCCGAGCTAAAGGGGTGCCAATCAGAACAGGGTGTTGGGTACAGTGTATATCTGTAAACATATATACTTCGGGATTGTGAGTGACTGCAAGAAGATAGTGTTTCTGATTGTTCCAAATGTCAAGCCTTCCAAAACACCTGCAAACCCCAATAAAGCCCTTGAAGGAACCCTGAAAGGGTGATATAGAGTATGGTTTATATTATATTACTAGTATCCCCACAATAAAACCCAATACATACACTCACCTAAATTCAAAAGGAGCCCTATCTACACTCACCAAAATGGTAATATAAGCCCTACTTCATATCATTAAAGATTCTACGCAGGCCTTCGGGCCAGACTCTCAGGCAGGTCAGCACCACCCGGAGAAGGACGGGAGCAGTGAGCTGAATCTTTACCGCCTCGGAACAGGGTTTTTGGGTTGCAGGTCGTAGAGTTTAGGGTTTAGGGCTTGATGTCTTACAGGGCTCAGGTCTTACTTGGAGGGTCGGGGGACTTAGTAAGTAGGTAGTAAGTAGACTTATAAGTACCCTATAAAGGGACCCTAATTGGGGCTATGGTACTTATAAGTCCTTAAAATAACCAGTTACTAAGTCCCCCGACCCTCCAAGTAGGGTCTTAGAGTCTTAGAGTCTTAGGGCCTGAGGGTTTAGGGCATTCTTTGGGACTTGAGGCCTTTCGGGCCTGGCCCTAAACCCTAAATCCTAAACCCAAAACCCCTGAACCCTAAACCCTAAATCCTAAACCCTAAACCCTAGACCCCTAAACCCCCGAAACCCTTAAACCCCTAATGCCCTAAACCCCACGCCCCTGATGTGGGACTCTCAAAGGACGCGACGAGGAGCAAAAGCTGCGATCGTCACTCGCCGAAGAACACCAGAGCCGGACATGTCTGCAGTGAAGACAGCATGCCTCGTGATCCATAAGGGCTCCTTTAAAGGGATCTCTAAGGACTACTCTAAAAGGGATCTATAGGGATTAGGGATTAGGGTTTAGGCTTTGGGGCTTGAAGAGTTTAGGGTTTAGAGTTCAGGGATTAGAGTTTAGACATGGGGTTTAGGGTTTAGGCTTTAGGGCTTATAGGGTTTAGGGTTTGGGGCTTTAGGATTCATAGGGTTTAGGTTTTGGGTCTTTAGGATTCATAGCGTCTCGGGTGTAGGGTGAAGAAACAGCTGCCTTGAAGAAACAGCTACTGAGAGTAGGGTTTTGGGGTAGACTATATATATATATATATATATACATACTTATATACATATACTATAGCTATAATATAAGCATACCTTTTAGGCTTTGGGGTTTATGGGGTTTAGCGGTCAGAGCTTAGGGATTAGGGTTTAGACTTGGGATTTAGGGTCTAGGGTTTGGGGCTGTAGGATTCAGAGGGTTCAGGGTTCGGGACGAAGGAACAGCGAGTTAGAGATGGGTCTTGGGGTGGCCTATAAAAAACCGTAGCTATACTCAGCCTGCCTTGAAGAACAAGGCAGCGTTTTCAAGGGTTTAGGGTTCAGGAGTTTACCGGTTCGTGTAGTGGAGACAGCATGCCTGGAAGAATCGGGTAGAGTTTGGGGCTTAGGGGCCCTCGGGCTTAGGGGTTTAGGGTTTAGGGGGTTTAGGGTTTAGGGGGTTGAAGTTCAAGGTTTAGGGTATCTTGAGAGTTTAGGGTTTAAGGGTTTAGTTTAGAGTTCAAGTTTCCGGTTTAAGGCTTGGAGATTCGCCTAAGCCGCTACCACTTCTCATGTGCTCGTCTGCCCTCCTCAGACACTCTGTCGTAGGATCATGGTTGGAGCAGGCTACCACTACGTCTTCAGGGCAATTTGAGGGTTTAGGGTTTAGGGTGTCAGGAAACCTTAAACCCTGAGCCCCAAGTTTTGGCCTCTGCACGCAAGATATGCTGCAGGACCCATCCGAGGTTACGCGCCCTGAGCCCCCAAGCGCCCAACCTTCCCTTGCACGTGCAGCTTCGGGCTCAAGGCTTGAGGGGAGGGTTTAGGCTTTAGGGCCTTTAGGGGTTAGGGGGTTTAGGGGGGGTAGTATGGAAATGACCGGTAAGGTCGTAATGCCAGGCCCAAAGCCTCCGTATGCAGTAGGCATCAAGCCCGACGCCTCGGTCACTAACCCTAAATTCCTACATCCTCGGCTTTCAAGCCCAAAGCTTTCAGCCGACATCCTAAGCCCACAGTTATGAATTACATCCTCAACTCGTAGAGTCCTTAGAGTCTTCAAACCTGACTCCTTGACCCTCCAGCCGAAAGACCCTGAGCCCCCTCAAGCCCGAAACCCTGAACCCTAAAGCCCACAACCCCAAGCCAACTCTGAACCCTAAACCCCATATTGAACCCTAAAACCCCCAAGCCAACTCTAAACCTCTATAAAGCCCAAAACCCAAAGCCAACGAGCCCAGCGTCATGTTGGTGCCCAGCGCGAGGAAGGCTAGGAGACCCAGGCAGACCTGATCCGAGACTCCAGCACTCCCATACCCATTTTGGGGCTTATTCGCTTCGCTTCTACAAGGGCTTCTACAAGGGTTTAGTATTTTTTGGTGTATGTTAAACTATACTTATAATAAGAGGCTCCCATACTCATTCTGGGGTTCGGGATTAGGATTTAGGGTGTGGGTTCGGGGTTCAGAGCTTACGGTTTGGGGGTCCCTGAGGTAAATTTAACAAGTTAGGAAAAGCTTCTCTAAGGATTTACGAAAACACACTGATGCATACATGGGTTCGAAGGTCAGGGAGGCTGGCTTACAGCGTGATACAGTTGACTGCAGCGCTCAGCCTGAACAATGAGCAGGCTGAGCTGAGAGACTGCTTCCGAGGCACATAGTAGGCAGCTGCCACCAAGAACGAAAACGTGACCTTCGAGTGGAGCTATGACTACGAAGACGGCCAGGCTACAATCGGAGTGTAGGCAGTAGTTTGGGCGAATGCTTGTGGCTTAGAGATCCTAGGCAGACTATACTTGAGGTTGCCCGATGTACAACCCCACTCCCTGATCCTTCAACGCGCAGCTCCATACGCCACCTCCGTCTGCGCATGTGCATGCCCAACTGGCAAAACAGCGCATAATATCCCACATTATTGAACAAAAGAAAAAGCCCACAATCCCAAACTTGCGCCGTCAATGCCGCAAACTTTCGCCCTGGGTCCTGTAAGCTTTTTACACGAAATCATAAATTCAATATCCTCTACCGGAAAACTTGAAAAAGTCGCTATAAACCCGATAAAACCCTAAGTCGAAAATTTAAAGCCAAAGCCCTAAACCCTAAACCCTAAAGCCTATAAGCCCTAAGTCGAAAACTTAAAGCCCAAGGGGCACAAGGCTCCCACTTGGACCGGTCGCTCATACTTTGGTGAAGCGCTGGGAAGCAGGGATGGCCCGCGAAGCAAAAGATGATGAGGCCATAGGCCTTCAGTGCGCTTCAAGGGGGGGGGGTTCACGGTCCACGGTTCGGTCTTTGTGATCTTTGTTTGCATGAAAAATTTCATTCATGAATGATGTCAGGTCAAAAGGCTGTAAGGGGCAGACGGGTCCGTAGTTGGTTTGAAGAGGTTTAATTGCAGGGTTTGGGGCCTTATCGGATGAGAGAAGGGCACTTGGTGTTTGGGACGGCTGCTTACAGGCTGGAGCCTGGAGAGTGATCAGGGCGACGGCGATGAGGACTGACAGCACATGCTGCTCATGATGATGATTACCACCAAGGGCTGCGTTGAGTGCAACTTTGGTTGTGAGTTGTGAGGTTTGGTACCGTTTGGGAACCCGTAGAGCTTTCTTGGTTCAAACTTCTCGACAGGGGTAGTTGCCAAAAATCGGGTCCCTTTTTGGGCACCCTAACTATATTAAGGACCCGAAAAGGGACTCTAATTTTGACAGCCACCCACATGGGCCAAGTTCATCACTAAATCCACAAAGATCCATGCTCCTCCGATAACTGAGACGAAGACGAAATCAAAGATGATGCTCCTGCGATGACCGACTAAGACGATGTGGCCATCTGCAGCCATGGCACTCGGAACACGTCCCCAACACCCTCCGGCGCTGAGAAGCAAGGCCAGTTCCACTCATCCATCTGAAACCTCAGGGTTTCCGGCTCGGCGCTTCAGGTTTTAAGGCTTTGGTTTTTCGGGCCTAGACGAGTGTGGGCAGAGAACTCCGGGTGAAGACTTCAAATTTCCGGTTAATGTCGAGCCTTGGAACTCAACAGTGGGGATGTGCATTGATTTACACGCTTCATGGTCCAGCGGCAACGGTTCAGGATGTAGGGTGCAAGATGTTTCAGGTCGTCTGGGCGGGCCCCTGCCCCACGGCCAAAAATATTAGTCAATATGAGGGTTCTTGTCTTATTAGTGGCAGCCCATGCAAAACCAAAACAGCAAAGCATAAAGACAATAAAGAGAGGCAAGACAAGAGAAAAGAAAAGAAACACATGAGCACGAGCACGATGAATACGCCAACGACTCGCAATGCCGTCCATCGTCACCTGAGACCTGACATCAAGAGTTGCTCGGACGGTCTCTCACTCAGCATACACACACCGATCACAGATGGATTTAAGGTGCAGGCCATGATAACACCATCGAAATCCAGATGAACCTGGCCAGGGTGAACTAAAGGAAAATGCAATGGCAATGGCACCAACACTTTGTGCAGAGATGGCGACTTTTCTGGGCAGGCCAGCTCATCTCTCTGCAAACTGGTGACGACGGCAAGAGATGGGTCGACTGAGTCGACTGGCGCTGCCTGTTACTCTACAAAAAAACGCTGGACTGAGTCGATTGGTCGCTGGTCGACTGAGGTAGCGATTGGTTGACTGCCAGACTGTTGAATTGAACATTCAAACGAGTTTGATCAATCATTGTCGATAATCGACTCAGTTGAAATGCCGAGGCCTCGGCATTTTCTTCTGCTTTGGCTTGGCTTTCGCTTTTGGCCGTTTTTTTGGCCGGGGCGCTATTGCCAGCAGAGGCCTCGACTCAGGAGGTGGCATCGTTGACCCACTCGACTCCGGAGGTGGCATCGTTGACCCACTCGACTCAGGAAGTGGCATCGTCGACTCAGTCGACTCAGCAGATTCCGATTCCGAAACGGAATTTGTGCAAGGCGATCGCATCTCACGCCAGTCGCAGTCGACTATGTCCTGCAGTGCAGATGTTTATGGTTGTTTATTATTATTGTCAATAGTTATCATTATTGGCCACCGGACAGGACTGGAAACACAGGTTTAGGAGTACCCGGTCCTCCGGCGCCAACTGGGAGAACCAGTCGCTAGCTGCAGGAGCTGAAGCCTCGAATCAGATTTGTGTTATGTTATTAATTATCGGTTTGAAAACATCCGGCTCCAGGTCCTCCGCCTGGTTCGACTCGTCGAAGCCGCCGTCGGGTGCAGTTGCATCCTATGCAGGTTTCCATTGTCCATCGGACTGGCATGGACTGACAGTTTTTGAAAACATGAGGTTCCCGGTCCTCCGGCCGGCTCGACTCGTCGTTGTCGTCAGCTGGATCCTTCGGATACTCGAGATGGACTGACAATTATTATGATGTTTGAAAACATCCGGCTCCCGGTCCTCTGGCCGGTTCGACTCGTCGTTGCAATCCTCGTGTGGCAGATTTTTAGTGGCCATCATGACCATGTTTGAAAACATCCGACTCCCGGTCCTCCCACTGGTCCCGTGACTCTTCGCCGTCATAAGCGGTTGGACCTGGATCCTTCGGATTCACCGCCCGACAGAGATTATTATGGGAAACACAGGGCTATGCGACTCCCGGTCCTCCGGCGGGAGTGACGGGCGCCACGAGTGGTCGTAGTTCGATTCATTCAAGGGCTGGTTTTCATCCTTTAGCATTGGGTTCACTATCATCGGACATGTGCAGCAGCATGTGAAAACACAAGGCTATCCGACTCCCGGTCCTCCAGGAGCTGGCCAGGCGGGCTTGCCATGTGGATCGACTCGCTGGGGTCAGACATACCCAAGGGTGGAGTAAAAGCGTCATCCTTTGGATTGGATTCACTATCGGACATGGGCAATGGCAATGCTTGAAATCTTATGGTCATCCGACTCCCGGTCCTCCGGCGAGTCGTCCAGCTCGACAGCTTTCCTTTTCTGCTGACTCTCCTTGGATGTGGCTGGCCAAACATAGCCGACACATGACACTCTGCAAACATCCCAGTCCGAAGGGGGCTGCCTACGCTTGGGAAGTGAACTCCGATTCCAGCACACGAACCCCTGCAGGAGCAACTTGCAGCACAAGGCCTGTCAACAAAACCTTAAACCCACTTGCTCATGTTCAGCAGGATATTGATTCTGAAGTGTAGTTAAAGCTGGCTAACTAAGCTTTACTTCGAGGAGCCGGATGACGACACGACCTTTCACAAGTCTTACATTCAGAACTGTTATAGCAAGTCCACCTCGACTGAATGTAACGAAATATTGAAGTCCAAGGACTCTGTCGGAAGGCTCGTCGCCGCTCTCCATTGCGGCTCCCGGATGGCTGGCAAGGCTCTGTCTGAAAGTCTTTGGACTAGTACTTGAGGACAGGATTCCTGTTCTTCCGAAGGTCGCTTAATCATTATCAGTGTTGTGCGTCTGCACCTAGCTCCTGATGTAATTATGAGTGTTTGCGCATCTGGACCTCGCTCCTCATGTTGCCTAGGGTCACCCGCCTCATGCATGCCTGCGGTCAACAAATTCAGCCGCACTCAAACTGCCAAGCACCGTGCACTGAGATGTCAACGTGAGCATGAGCCCTGGCACAACAAACACGCAGCTGGCACCTTGCCCATTCGGTCAACGTTTTTCGACTGCTTCCAGGCCTGTGCCACAGGGCAGGCTTGGAAACACGCATCGCTTCACTCCACTGATCACGGAGACGCACCTTCGCCAGGCAGAGAACTCCAGCGACCTCAGTGAGCGCGCAGATTCGCGAAGGCTCTATTGATCAATGGCTGGCGACTGACTGGAACCGTCTCTGCGTCTTTTACCCCTCAAGATGCAAGCGCTACCCCTGGCAAGTGCGACTTCTGGCGCTTCGCGCCGAAGCGGAAACCCATGGACCGTGGCTGCCATTCGCTGGACTCTTGACTCATTATTGATTCAACATTCTCTGGCCCTTTTCTGAGAATCACAAGTCCCCACGTAGTACATAGGTTGATTGCGGGCCACTCTTCGCTATGCAGTTGACTTTGACAGCTAACAGATTTTTCTCACAAACAAAGCTATAATAATTTGGGAGGAAACCTGCACGATTTCCGCATGTTTCGGCTAGAAGTCGTGGTACAGTGATAATCTACACGATAGCAGCGGACAAGGTATGGTCCGTAGTGTCTAAACTCTAAACTGCAAAGCCTGGCAGGATTCTTGAAAGATTGTGGACTTGTACTTAGAGGTGTGCCTGCTGTCTGTCTATTCCTTCCAAAGGCTTAAGCAGCGTGGCGGTCCACTCCTACTCCAGCTCCATCCAGCGCTCGGATCGACTGGAAAAGCTTCCATAGCCAATCCTTCGACTTGTGGAGCTGGATGAACTTCGGCTGAGGCGGCCTTCCCCGCTTTGCCTTGGTCTTCGCCTTGGGCGTCGACTTGCGAGCAGCCGCAGAAGCCTTGCGATCCTTCTCATAGGATGCCATCGACTCAAAAGTTTGCCAAAGCCCCTTTGAAAGGCTACAGAGGCCCTCCAAAAACTTCGACTGCCTCGACTCGCCGAGGAGGACGACTCGCTGGGTCAGGATGTTCTTGTGCAGGACTAAGCCGGGCATTTCTCGACCTCAACACAGGTGTCAGGCAACATACGCGAAGAAGTAGTTAAGCAGAAATCGGACATGTGTGCACAAAACGGAATGAGTATATTAAGAAACCGTCAGAGTCGCTGGTGTCCTCGCAGAAGCTGTTCCAGTCAGACTTGGACACCACGGGAGTGCCAAAGCCAGCCAGAAGCACCGCCACTTTGCAGAACGCATAGTTCCTCGAGAAAAAAAGGCTTGACACTCACTGGCTCAAAGACTGTTTCTCATGGTCAATCAGTGTCAGACCAGGACAAAATGCACCTTGCAGCCATGGGGCTGAGAGCAGGCAGGCTTCTCGAGGAGAAGGTCCGTGACCGAGTCGACTACCGCGATGTGAGCGGACGGAACGAAATCCAGGACCTTCTGAAGATTGTCCACGTCCATGCGCTGCACTCGCACGTCCTCCTTGGACTCGGGCCAGGCCTTGGCATTGGGTCCGTGGGAATGACTTTCAGATGACTTGCGCTTGGCATTTTGTCCTACCAGTCGATAACTTCAGTTGTAATTGAATCCCCAACATATTTTCAATATTTGACACTTGTTACATTCGCAACTGCATAATCACCACAATCAAAGCCACGCTCAAAAACAGTAGTAAAATCGCATCGAAGCACCACTTGACTTTCTCGACTGTGCTGCAAGGTCCCATCCAGAATCTTCCAGCGCTTCAGCGACTTGAACTTCTGCACCCATGGCGCCTGAAGAGTCGACTGCGGCCGGAATAGCTTGGCTGTGATCCTTTCGGGTTTCCCAAAAGGATGTCCATCAGTTTTGCGCTTTTTGTTGGCCATGTCAGCCTTCTCCTTGATCAGCTGTGTCCTGCGCTTGAATTTGGAGATGGCTTGGCTCGGCCTCATCGACTCCTTGCACAAGTGGGAAGCTGCCTCCGCTCGACTCACACCAGGAAGAACAGTGGTGGTAGACTCTGCGGAGTCCCGGGCGGAGAGCTTGTGCAAAGCCATTGTTTGTCGTAGCCGCAAGCCAGCTTGGGTGAACTTCTTCATCTTGGACTTCTCTTCCTCTTTCTTGCCCACCCTCTTCTGCTGGTAGATCCGGAACCTGCCCCCGTGCATTTTCCTCCATTCCTTGAGGAATGATCTGGAAAACTCCGTTAAAGCCAGGTCTGTGCCTTGCCTCGACGCCACCTCCTCAAGTGAAGTTGGTCCGTCGAGCTTGCACTCCAGGAGATCTGAAAAAAGGCTCGTGGACAAGGGGCCCTTGTGGGAGTCCGAAATCTTGGTCCCGTGAGCATGGTATCTCTCGACTGTGCACGTCCCGTCCTCCATCGCCACATATAGA